GTGAGGTGTGTTCGAAAGGGCCGGTTCCCCTTTTTGGTCCAAACCAGGCTAGTGGATATTGCCGGCTATGGACATTACAAGCTCAGGAAGCTTATCCCTCAGTTTACCAAATTTTTCCTACCGGTATTTTGTTTGATTCTTGTGTGTGTTCTCAGTAAGGATCAGTGGACGACCCGAAAGATGGTGTCTCCCTTGAACATCGTGAAGAGATCCCAGGGATTAGAGACGTGCACTGTGAGTGTTGCAGTCGAAGAAGGGACCTGGAAGGTGATGGTAGATAGAGGAGGTACGCGACATATGATAATATGAGTGACTGTTTCCGACAGGTTGACACCCCCGCGTGATTGCTGAGCCTCAATACAGCGTTATACGGAACGTTGGTCGACCTGACGTTGGCAGAGCGAATGCCATCTTCGGTGTGCAAGCAGCCCTGTTGAAACTAGGTGTAAGCCTAGTAGAGGCGTATGCAGTAAGTATTGACTTACCCACTGTCACTATCACTCTGAATTATCAGACCCCTGTATTCCAGGTTCCTGTCTCCCTGAAGGACCACCGGACCGGTACCAGAAATGCCGTCTGTGACCAGCCATCATCGGTGCCCCGACACAGGGAAGTGTCGAGTCGCCCCTCATCGTGTCTACACCGATCCTTACTCGAGAGAGGTGAGATGATGCCCCTGCTTGGCATCGCAGTGGAAGTTTGGAAGACTACTTCAGACAGCTCATCGTCCTCCACCTGCAAGTTTCCTTCATGCCAGAGTTGCCCAGTAGGACAGTTCTGTGAAGGAGACAGCCTCGCCGTGCCAGTTTACAGTATAAGTGAGTCCATTTGGAGTTGTGTCCCCGTAATAATTTGGTTTGTGTTTTTCTTTCTAGAAACCCAAACCAAATTCCTTTTGGTCAGGAGGTGTTACGAACCCGGATCCAGTGTCCGAGCACGGAGCAGTGACGACCGCGCCATCTGTGGGTCAGCTCCCGAAACCCCCTCAAAATGGACGGAGACACCTAGTGACGACGAAGTGTACTGGCCACAAGGGCCAGAGTCCAGTCCTGTGCAGCTCACAACACCGCCGCTGCTGACCTCTGGTGAGGTGGTGCTCAGACAACAGCGCCATCTATGGAGTGGATACGTCGGGCGTTTGTGTCTGAGCCTGTAAGTGAGGTGCTTTTGTGTGTACCTGTTATTGATGACGTGTCTACTTACAGAGTCGACCTGGGACTGCTGTAAGGGAAGTTGAGTCAGTCTACCCAAGGCAGCCGTCCCCATACCTTGTGCTTTGCTGCAGCAGCTGTGAGTCGCCTCCCGGAGGAACACTGTGGTGTTACCCTGCCAGTGAAGTGGCAGTAGAAGGATTGTCGTACCCGGGACCGACTGCTGGAGACGATTGACCACTGGGGTATTGAGGACAGGAGAGTGATTTGTGGTATCACACGAGGCTCCTGACTAGGGCGCTACCCTAGAATCGCTCGTGGAGTGGCCTGACCAGCGTTGCTGATCCGGAACCTGCCAGCCGTTCTGCTGGACTTGTGGTTGACGGCCTCCACGGCGGTGCCCCAGTGGAACTGTGTTTTGGCTGGCCTGTGTCTGGGGTAGACTCAGCTTGATCGAAGGAGTCGTCAAGAGACCACGAAAGCACCGAGGACTCGGCACCGAGAGGATCCCGCGTCTTCAGGAGAAGACAACCATGTATATACTTCCCTTGTGTACATACCAGTTGCGTTGCTTCTGGGAGTATGGGTTCGAGTCACTTCTGGGGTGTGAGTTTTCAGTTGCATATTGTCCTGGGGACCACTCAGGCTTGTTCGCATAAATATATATATATATATATATATATATATATATATATATATATATATATATATATATATATATATATATATATATATATATATATATATATATATATATATATATATATATATATATATATATATATATATATATATATATATATATATATATATATATATATATATATATATATATATATATATATATATATATATATATATATATATATATATATATATATATATATATATATATATATATATATATATATATATATATATATATATATTTAAAGTTAAAATATATTTAAAAGTTAAAGTTAAGTTAAAGTTAAAGCTAGTTAAAGTTTATCATATTATTCAAAATCATTATATATATATATATATATATATATATATATATATATATATATATATATATATATATATATATATATATATATATATATATATATATATATATATATATATATATATATATATATATATATATATATATATATATATATATATATATATATATATATATATATATATATATATATAATGATTTTGAATAATATGATAAACTTTAACTGTCCATCAATGCATGTATGGATTAAGCCTCACTAGTCGCCTAATTAAAACTAATGGGTTTTTCACATTATCGATGACTTCCCACATATTTATCAGTGTATTAGAATGATTGAGATTGCTGCTGCTGGAACCCACAGATCCCCAGACATCTTCAAACACAATAATTACAAGGGCAAACTCTTCACCCTCAGGTTAAACTACTTTCTGAGCTAAACTTCTTCAGACATTGCTTATCCAGGCCTGAGTGTAGAGTTACCTCCTCACTGATAAACCTGCAGTTACCCGTTACTCTTTCTCATACACTAGCTTCACTTACTATGAGTGACAATTGCTGGTTATCACCTCTGATGGTTCCCTCCGTCGTCATACCTGGCTCCTCATCAAAGATTATGTTAAGGCAAATACTAGCCACCTTACCGTCATATGTTGCTTTCACTCTAACGTAATAAATGAAGAATGAACATAGCATATTAAGGCTTAACATGATGAAGAACATATAACATTTACAGTCTCCGTGGTGTAGTGGTAAGACTCTCGCCTGGCGTTCCGCGAGCGCTATGTCATGGGTTCGTATCCTGGCCGGGGAGGATTTACTGGGCGCAATTCCTTAACTGTAGCCTCTGTTTAACGCAACAGTAAAATGTGTACTTGGATGAAAAAACGATTCTTCGCGGCAGGGGATCGTATTCCAGGGACCATAGGATTAAGGACCTGCCCGAAACGCTACGCATACTAGTGGCTGTACAAGAATGTAACAACTCTTGTATATATCTCAAAAAAAAAAAAAAAAAAAAACATGCTAAGACTGAACATTATTAAGAACATAATTACATGTTAAGGCTGAATATGATAGAAGAACATGTAACTTGCTAAGGCTGAACATGATAGAAGAGAACATAACATATTAATGCTGAAGATTATAATAAGCCACAAAAAAATCTAATTAATGCTTTCTTCTCTTAAATCACATGTCGTCACTCTGATTCATACTAGACAAGTTTATATTCTGAAAATACATAGGTAAATATTGTTTTGGAAATAGGAGTTATTGATGTCATTACCAGATAACATAATAAACGTTGGCATGCAGGATTGTTGCGAGCGAAGGTTAGACATACATATGAATAAGTTTTATTCAATATGAATATGCATGGGCAATAGTTCTTCTGGAGTTTTAATTATCTATATGAATCAAAGTACAACAATAATGTCACCTTGATGCTATAGTTGCAGGTTAGTACAGTGACTAGTGGTGTGTAGAAAATATGTACGTCATATATAACTGAGATTAATGACACCCTCCTGCTTTTGTATCAATATATAATGGTCAGCTAACAATTGTGAGGTTCAAGAACTATCTTATGATGTTATAAGTATGTAGTCAACACATGTTTGCTTCAGTCTCAAGACGTTTTGTTCAAATAACAACTGGTGTGATGCATAATATCTTTATTAGTGATATTGTTTAACTAACATTGTCAACTCTTGGTTTTCCTTGTCTAGAGCTTGTGTGATCATATAGCTACTTGGTTGATAGAGGATATCCTCAGTGATCATCTTGTTTATCTCACAATGACAACAAAAAATGCTCTCCTATCAGGTCAGTATGGTCAGATGTCAACTGGTGTGAAGCAGGATATCATAAATTACAATAATATTAATTAGCGAAGATAATTAATTTCTTTTCTCTTTTCCTGCTTCTCTTTTCTCCATCAAGTATCGTCAAATAGTAACTTTTAGATTCAAATTATAGTTACTTTGGTTAAATGATAGCAACAATGTTTTTCTTTCCTCAGGCTAGTAATACCGACATTTTATTGCGGAGCCTTAATAGTGTAGGACACTTATTAAAGGTCATTTTACAAGGCTGGAGCTATCAGTTCACCTTAGTATGTTCATCTCTTGTTGGGTTCTGAATATCTTAATTAAGGGAGACCCCCTGCTGGATATTTGAAATGATTAAACAAATAATGTCACAGAGAGATGGATTACTGACAGGCATTTTGAGTCAACTTAAGTCAGAAAAAAACAATTTGAGCTGTGCATTTGGGGTTATTTTGAGGCAGGATAGGCACAGAATGTGTTGATGTTAAATACTGAGGGCGTGCTAATATATTTAATGTCATGGTATTATTAGTTTATATTAGTTCTATGACAAATTGTCTAACTACCTTATATTTGTGAAATACATATTATCTTTACACTGTATCGTCTTTCAAATTTTCAAATAACTGTCAATCAATTTATGCCTAAATATAATATAAAATTTAGATTGCTATACATCTGTTTAGTCTTGACAGCAATGAAAATATTTGTATAAGTTGTTACCAGTTAAGTTCCTGATCCTGGTAATGACAATATCTACTTACTGTTCTGTTACTGTTTATTCTTATGTTACTAATGTACTGTACATTTTCAAATAAAGTTTTTAATTGATTTACATAATAATACCACAACTGGCTCTCTCTTGTTACAAGCAATAAGTTATCAAATAATAACCGTTGGTATGTTGGATATTTTTAATGTGAACTATTCTGATCACTTTTTTAACACGGTTATCGTCTATTATTCTTAAAATGGAAAATCAATTTGCATAATATTTAGAGTTGGTATTTCACTTAAATAGTATAAAAGTTGTTAATCAAGGATGGTTTATTTCAACAATTTACAGAAACCTCTGGAATCGTGATGGTTTATGCATAATAACAATTGTGGTGTCTGTTGACAGGCAGGACAGCCCTTCTCAGGGCAGCCGAAGGTGGCCACGACAACACTGTGAAGGTCCTCCTCGACGCTGGAGCAGATGTCAACGCTGCAGGTTATAAAGGTAAGAATCACATTTATGCATCCCAACTTTATTTAGAATTTAAGAATTTAATTTATGCATTGAACACATCACACTACGTCACGTATTGAACACATCACACTACATCATATATTGAACACATCACACCACGTCACGTATTGAACATATCACACTACGTCACATATTGAACACATCACACTATGTCACATATTGAACATATCACACTACGTCACATATTGAACACATTACGTCACATTGAACACATCACACTACGTCACGTATTGAACATATCACACTACGTCACATATTGAACACATCACACAACGTCACATATTGAACACATCACACTACGTCACGTATTGAACACATCACACTACATCACATATTGAACACATCACACTACGTCACGTATTGAACATATCACACTACGTCACATATTGAACACATAATATACAACTTAAGGTGTTACACAATTCATATTGTGTCCCAAAACACACTTCACATTTGTCATCATACAATGCAATACTCTTTATCTGTGATATATTTCACAATACCTATGGTGACAAACTACCATTATGGACACTAAATATGGTGTCTCTCAATATACCATGCTTATAAGGGCGCAAAACAAAGAAAAACAAAAAGGTTCAAAGTTTAAGTCACATTGTTTTGCTATTTATTTTATTGTGACTTCTGTTTCTTTTAGATATGATGATGAATAAGGTCGTATTCGAAACGTCATGGCTTTGACTCAAAAGTAAAGAAGAGATTTTACAAGATGTTTGTTTTATCTCTGGTTTTCCTTTATATTTTGAGGATTAGATTCCCGAAGGGAACTTCTATCGTAAATATATTATAATTTGTTTATTTATTCAATTTTCTTAAATGAAAAGCAAGTTCCTTTAAGGAATACGCAGGCTCAGTGGATGAACTAAACTTGTTCTTCTCTGGATGAGAATTAACTTGGATTTAAGGTTACTTACCTTTGACAAAATGTTGCCTCTACAAATCTTCTTCTTGAGCACATATGGATCTTCATGCCAACTGTATTTGTAGAAAATCTATTTTCCTTACTTTGTTAAGAAAAGACAGTTTCTTTCGTTTGTCAGCACCTCAGAAAAGATATTACATTTGGACATTGCATATGTCCATAGATTACAAGATAATGTATCAAATCAATTCCCTCTGTAGTAACAGGAAAGTTACCAAGTCTTCCACTCACGAGTGCCTATAAATATCAGCCCATAATCTCAGTACACAAATTCAGTATTGTTATAGATGTGCAGGGATGTACTGCTGATTAATTGCAGTTTTTGAGACTGTATGATCGATTTACTCTTCAGTCAATACTCAGTTTCAGTTCTGGTACTTTCTATTCCAATTCAATTAACAATTATGAACACAAACATGGGTAAGTGGTCTTTGATGACTTACTATAGCAAAAGAGATGGTGGAGTGGCATAGACGTCAACTTCGAGTGTAGTGGCGAGGACAGGGTGAGTGACTGTGAGGTGGGTGAGTCTTTAGCTGCGCTGCGATTCTCTGGTCTGGATCCGACATGACAGTGTTATCTGCTAAAATATGACTGGTTCTACACACCCCGTCATTCTCTGAAATGTATAAGGAGGACAAAGTAGTCTTCCTGCAAAAGGTCTGCCATGCTCTGCCTTGCTCTGTACTCTTGTATGTAATTTTATGCAAGAAATATAACTGAAAATTCTATAATGTTGGTGATTTCTTGAATTTCACTGAATGTTAGGTTTATAGATTTTATTTGATTTCCTAAGAATGATTAAAATTAAATGATGTATTACTAAATAAAAAGAACGATAGCAACATTTTAGCTGTTTAGAGTGATAGTAATCATATCCAGTTGCCACTAAGTAAACTGTAGTCGTCTTCGTGCTATAGTGGACTGTATTGTTTGTCTCAGTGTTCTCTAGGTGGCTCACATTTAGGGAGACGCAGCAGGAATATTGCTGCCTTCATTTTACCTGCCGGATGAAATAAATTTCAGTACTTTATGGTAAAATAAAATATATGTATAACACAACATGCACTGATAATTAATATAAAATATTAGTTTTAGCTTTTGTTTTTAATTCTGGTATTTTGTACACATGAATGATATTATCAACAATGACAAGACTTAATATTTTATCGTTGTGAATTTATCTATTGCATAATGTATATTTGTATTTATCTATAAACCATTGCACTATATTTCAAATATTTATTTGCTAAACATTGGTTAACCTAGTTAGTTATAGTTAATTGTGTGGCAAGTAATTGACTTGCTGAGGTTGGCTTAAAAGCCTGTGTTATGTCCGAGTTGCTGAAATAGAACAATTAGTGAAACATCTTAACAATGATCCCTGACAAATATATTATAATGTATTATCACGAACTGTTCTGCATAACATATGGTGTCTGGCTCCTTTGCTGGAGTTATGTGGCCTCAACTCAACTGTATATTTATAATACACAATATAGGAATCCGGGTGCTCAAAGTCTTTCTGTCATCTAGTAGATCATTGTTAAGGTTTATGTAGCTCTCGCAGTGAGCTTAGTACTGCATTTTTATGAAGGTAACTAATGAGGTGGTGTTGATTTTGCATAAATGGTGTCTGGCTCCTTTGCTGGAGTGCCTTCAGTGTGGCCTCACACTCAACTTAACTACTGTTTTTCTAAGGTTTGGCACGCTTAGTTTACTTTAAACAGTGTATCTCAATGTTTATACTGTTTTAATAGATCATGCAAAGGTCCATGGGTATCCTAAACTGCTGAAATCGCACAGCTTGATGCACGTGGTGTTTCCTACTGGTGACGAGTTGTTTATTGTTTGGCTTGTTTATTATTTAGTTCATTTATAGTTGTGTTATTTCACCACAATACCTGTCCACAGAGTAGCTAAACAGTTTGATGTGGTATACACTGGTATATAGTGTGTTCTGGTGTTTTGGTGTGATGGTGTCTGCGAGCTCCATCAACTGTGGCTCCACATCCCACTTCACACTGGTATTTTATATTTCCACATCTATCATTTTTAAACGGTTTATGAAAACTTTAATCAGTTTTATATGACGTTTACACCACTATACTAAGGTCCTCGGGAATAAAAACGGCTGAAACTTAACGTTAACAACCACGGTGTATATTCGTTTTGGTGGTGGAGAGTTTAGTATCATGGCAGCGTCTAATAGTAGTTGGCATCCGTCAATCCCGTGGGGTTATGGGGTTGTGCCCTGGGGGTCTAGTTGGATGCAACGTCTGCTCTGGCTGAGAAATCCAACCTGAGGATGGCAGTCCCGACCGCTGCGAACACAGACAAACGTCGAAGTGGGTGAGTCTGACAGTGGTCGAGTCCTCCTCTGAAGTCTATTATCCTCCACCTGCCTCTTCAGTTCACCCTCGAATTGCTGAAGTCTTTTCTGCCTTTTGCATCTCCAGGCAGATCTGTCCGCAGCTGCTGCCTCCTAAGTGTTGATGTCCATGTTCATGTGCTTGGGGTCGCGTTTTCAGGCGTCTTTGAAACGCAGCTGGGGTCATCTGGTGGCCCTCTTTCCTGTTGCCATTTCTCCGTACAAGAGGTCCTTCGGTATGCGGCCATCTTCCATGCGTGTGGCATGACCCAGCATTCGCATGTGTCTCTGCTTCAGGAGAGTGAACATTGAAGGGATTCCTGTTTCCTCGAGTACTGTGTTGTTGGTGACGTGGTCTCTCCATATAATGTCAAAGATGCGTCTCAGGTTCCGCATGTGGAAGGTTTTGAACCGTCTCTCCTGGTGAGAGGCCAGGGTCCCGGATTCGGAGCCGTAGAGAAGTGTACACACCACACATGCCATGTAGAATCGTCTAAACACTAGCTATATCCACACCTAGGCGGGCATAGTCACCCCACCCTGTTTTACACATCAATTTATACAATCGTTAACCACCCTTATCTGATTAAACAAATATTTTTTGTTTATATGTATTTATTTTGGACTATTACCATGATAGGCTTATAGTTATTGGATTTAATTAAAAATATCCTGATATGGAACCCATTATAGATGCCTTCCTGGGGTGGTGTCTTCAAAATGATGTTCATATGTTGACTAAACATTCTCTATGTCCTGGGTGGGCGGGACTTTGATCCATAAATCGCTAGACTTAAGCTTTGTGCTCTCTCACACACCATATAACTCACACATGCTATACTCTATTTTGATGAAAAATTTCCACATCTTTATGGGAAGGAAATGATTGTTTGGAGTCCATTATTTAGGACTGAGGCAAGACGAAAATTTACCATGTTTACTCCCCATCGTTTTGAAAGTACAAACGCAAATTTTGTTTGCACTTCTGTGCTGCTGTCCTTTGACGGATGGGCCGTATTGATATTTGTAGATTTCCATGTGCTAATGCTGTGGGTTGCCCAGGATCTGTAGTCTCCCCCTTTGGATTCTAAGTGTACTAGTTTGTCTTGTGTTTTCAAGGACGTAGCTCCTTTAGACTGAACATTAACAATCCGCAAAATTCCCTGACTGTCTGGGTGGATAAATATGACTTTTCCTAACTGTCCTTGGTCCATCGAAGTCCATGAGAACAGTATCACCAGGTTGTATATTAACTTTGTTATATGGGGAATTTATCCCATAATGGTGTTCGCTTAGAGAGATTAGGTACTCCCATGTCCATACTTCATTCCACTTAAATATTATGTTGGAGAGATGCTTGTTCTCTTGTACTAAGTCAATCACCCACGTATGAGGGATCTCTGACATCATCATCTGGTAAGGAAGGTACTGGAGTCATGGGTAAACGGTACATTTTCTTTTTTTTGAGATATATATACAAGAGTTGTTATATTCTTGTACAGCCACTAGTACGCGTAGCGTTTCGGGCAGGTCTCTGGAATACGATCGCCACGAAAAACCGTTTTTACAACCAAGTATCCATTTTACTGTTGAGTTAAACAGAGGCTACAGTTAGGGATTTGTCCTCAGTAAATCCTCCCCGGCCAGGATACGAACCCATTACAAAACGCTTGCGGAACACCAGGTGAGTGTCTTACCATTACACCACGGAGACTGGCAAAACATTAAGTGACCTGGACTACTGGCCACCTGAGATATAAGTCAATAGCTGATTATTTATTCTAGACACGATATCTGTGACTACTGTTTGGAGCTCCATGAGACCTATCTTCTTTCATCAAACCTCCGTGCCATGGAGCTCAAGATAGGATGAATTTTGTTTACACATTTTTTTCCAGTGCCTTATAGGCTTCGGGATAACTTGAGCAGTCACATCAGGTGTTACTTATAAACTGATCTAGTAGCTGCACAGGTAAATAAACAGATGCACACCTTATCAGATGTCCATCTTCTGTACCTGTATATGGTTTTTATCAGCTTCCTAAGTTGAGAGAAGCTGTACAGTTTATGGCGTTGGCTGCTGGTTTATCAACAGCGGTCATGGATTGTGTAACAATGACCAGTGGCTTTTTGGCCAACAAGCATTAGCTCACTATAGAGGCTCCTGGTGCTCAATTTCAACCTTAAGAAAGTACTTAATCTTCCTCTTGTTAAGTGATTCAGGAAAATTTCCTATAGAGTCTAGATCCTACTGTTTATGTACTGACTCCAGTCCATCATCAATTATGGGACTGATTTCTTGGCTCAGTGATTGTTCTTGGCTCAGTCATGCTACTATGACAGTTTCAGAATATTTCTGCTCAACAGGAGTTGTTGCCCTAAAACGTAACACTGGCCGGGACATTAACTTCCCTCCTGTAGACTCTAACAAGTACATTTCTAATGTTTGTTTCCCCCAAGATAAATGAATTGTTTTAATTAGCACCCGTAAGGATGCCCATATCTGTTATGTATATGGAATTTATCTAGTGGTCTGCTAAGATAAGCCCCATTTTGTTTATTGAATCTTGCTGTGGCTCCGAGACCAGTCACTTGTAGGACTGTCGGCATTGATTCCACAACAAATACATATAATGGTCTTATACATTTCCCTAGAGGAACTAGAAGTTTTACTACCTTGTGTTCTTGGTGCCCTGTTATAATTTTATGCTCCAAAGTAAGGCTCGTGGTGTAGAACTTTCTCCTAAGTAAGTGAACCTCCTGGCCTCAAATCAATAAGTTCAAAATGTCTAGGGTTCAATGACAGTCTAAGTAAAATCCAAACGCTTACTGGGTCGAAATTACTACATGACACCTTATATACACAATACTTACATAGCCGCAACAAAGGACATTTAATCACGAAGTTAATAATATACAAGTCACATCAATTAGTTGTCACTAAGCAAATATGATTTATGAACATAGAGTACACTAGATAGCGTGGGACAGGCTGCTAAGTTGTTGACACGGTGGGTGGTAACGTTACTTGCCCAGAGTTGCGGCCTTGATTTACATTGCAATTCTATTTTGGTTGAACCTCACTAGGAATGTCAAAGAGATATTTGTTTCTGATGTGATGACTGTGAGTTCTATTTCAGCCTTCTGAGAAGAGTTTAAGGTGATGATTGGCATTGCAATTCAGAGTTTTTATGGATATAGAGAAAAACAAGGGAAAGGGAAAAACTGCTTACCCTTTAAGAGTAGGTGGTGACTCTTTTTGGGCAAACCCTCTATCATTGAGTGAGTGAATGTTAAGGGGCTGGCTGAATCAATGTGGGTCTTTGCTAGGGATGAAAGACTACCTGTAATAAAAGCCAGTGAATCAAGAAATTTAAGCTTCCCTATTTCTACCTTAAGATATTTCGTCCCCTGTCTCATGAGGATATTGCTCTTAATATTTGAACCCATGGTAAACTCCCTCAAAATTAAGCCCATGTCATAAGACATATTATGAGCAATTAGAACTAAACTCTCCAGAGCATTCTTGTGGCGGAGGTTGCGGTAATTACATAGAGCTCCAATATAATTGAGCTTTTCCCTAAGGTGATCATGATGTTGAACCTTGAAATTGGAGGGGGTAAATACCTCCTCACAAAACTGGCAGTGAGTCTGTCTCCTAAAATGGACCATATCCTCAAGAGACATGTCTATTTCATAATGGGGGAGAGTGGATCTGATAATTTCCCATTTGGTAGCATCTCGCTGCATGAAATGA